TCGAAAATTGTTATGTTTAATAATTTTACACATTCTAATTGTTATTTCTTTAACACAAATATTTGATCATATGGTGAGTGTTGTCCGATTGTTGGGAACATTTGTTTATCTTATTGTAAATTCAGCTCGCGAACTCCTTTGAAATGTGTCGTTTGTTTTTTTTTTGGTACAAGAGAGATGCGCTGGCTTGCTTTTTTTTTTTTATTTTTTATTTACAGAAGAAGCACATCGGCGGAATCGAAAACACGTCCGCTGTATAATGATAGCCGCAGGAGGTCGCAGATTAACGAGATTTGGCGTTATTTCTGCGCGCGGAACGTTTTTTCGTACGTACACGTATTACGTCACACAAGAGACCAGCGAGTAAGTAGGTGACCAGCAGCGAATCCAGGAGATGGGACGAGACGAAGAAGAGAGAGAGAGAGAGAAAGAGAGAGATAGAGAAAGAGAGAGAGAGAGAGAGAGAGAGAGAGAGAGAGAAAGAGAGAGAGATATGAGATGCTACCGGGTGAAAGCACCGGGGGTCACCGCAAAGGCCAGGCAACGTGTTCTAGCAGAGCCGAATACAAACGTGTATCCTGAACTCACAATTACACACGCGCGTGAGTTTTAAGTTCGGTCGTGGCCGAAAGTCGTAGACGTTTTCTTCTAGCTTTCCTTCGAGATACCCCCCTTGCGAGTTGCCACATTTGCATGCGAACATTCGCACAGAAACGTATCTTCTACACGCTAGGAATTATGCATCACGAAACAAACGTGACCGCTTCCGCAAACGCTCGGTCGCTTCTTCGTCGAATTTGCGCATCGACGATCGCACAAATCCTTTTAGCGGCTTTCCCCGTCCATCTCCAATCGAAGACCCTTCAACCCTTGCGAAAATTTATTATTCTCGTTAGTATCTTCTCTGTAGTTCCGTTGTTTTTTATTTGACGTTTCATTATTTTCTTTGAATAACGACGACTTAATTAGACTTCGCACGTGGCGTCCGCTGCTATCAACTTTCCTTTTAACCGTTCTTGTTTTTTTTTTTTTTTAATTTTGTTAACGCACCGAAGAAGATCCTAAAGAGATCGAAATTAAATTTTATTCGTGACAATAATTTAAATACGCTAACACCCGGTATATTGGACTCGCATCAGTCTTCTCTACTCACTTGAAATTCTCACGACCTTATTTATTTATTTATCAGACACTTATTACGGTCAAATTCGAATAATAAGAGTATCGTCGAACGGTGAATTTAATAAAAGTATTTTAGCCAGTAACAAATTTCTGCGCGAGGAAAACATCCACATTCCATCTTTATTTTTCAAATTCACGCTTCGACAAATTTCCAACGCGACTTGTATCCCTTTCCTCCCTCCTCCCCCTTCGATACGTGTATCGCGAGTATGCATATATAGTTGCACGCATTTACATTTATTTATTGATTTCACGAGCAGACGCGCAAAAATACATTTACATCATCTCGCGAACGAAACAAAATGTATATTTTTCGTGCGTAAATATACCGCGTTAAATTCTGTGTGCGCAAATTTATCTTTTCTCTCTCTCTCTCTCTCTCTCTGTTTCTCTTTCTCTTTACTTGTCGCCGCTCCGAAATCTGAATTTTACAAATTTGAGAACATACGTACCTGTAACGTCACAACGTCGTTCCTCGCGTGAATTTTCTTCGACTTCGGTCTTTGTTGTTTGTCGCCGAACGGCAAAATAATAATTTGTATTCCTTACCCAATAACTCGGAATAGGGTGTGAAGTTCAAAACAACTGATAAATATGTATGCACCTCTAAGAGTCGAATTCGCTCCAAATTTGACGCTACTAGCGCCACCTATCGTCCGAGACCATCGGTCGAAACGCCCGACGTAGTTGCGACACGTGACCGCGGAGAGGGCGTCTCGATCGCCACGAGGGGAGATTAGTGCGCGTATTGCCCTTCGCGAGGAAAAAAAAAATGGCGATTCGCGAGGTTGTTTAGAGACCAATTCGATTTATAAACACACGCTTGGGGTGCGCGAACTCGCAAATTCTGATATTAAATGTGCCCTGAAATTAATGTGATGTGGACTGTGTGCGATGGCGAGCAAAGAGATAATCGGCCATCAGCAGCAGTTCATTGAGGAAATCGATTACAATGAAATCAAGACGGAGCAGGTAGTTTTTCTCGATTCTCTCGATAAGTTCCTTTCGATTCGTCTCTCTTCTGTAACATTTTTAAATCATTTTTTTTTTTTTTTCACGTCTTTCTTCGTGTCGATCCGTTCTGTGCTCTTGGTCTTTTTTTTTTTTTTTACAAAACACACGATATATCGAAGTGATAACCTCAACCGAGAGAGAGAGAGAGAGAGAGAAGAGATTAATTTAACCTAAAAAAATTGTGCGTGCCAAAAAGTTCGAAGTAGAGCCAGGGGCTAAAGATAGTAATAAAATCCCCAAAAGATTATTTATATATACACATATATGCACTTATGTATGTACATAAAGAATTATACTATTAAAAGAAAACATGTGGTGCTAGTTTGTTTTCGTTATGTAGTTTTTGTTATATTTGAAATGTCTAATTAAAACGCGCTGTTAAAGACACGTTTCTAAACTTTGATTGACTACACAGGTAGTTGGTAAAGGTTCCTTCGGAGTCGTCTGGAAAGCAAACTGGAGAGGACAGGCTGTTGCTGTGAAACACATAAATTCCGAAGGCGAGAAGAAAGCCTTTGCAGTTGAATTCAGACAGCTCTCCAGAGTTGCTCATGGCAATATTATTAAATTGTACGGTGTGTGCAAGAACCCGGTGTGTTTGGTGATGGAATATGCAGAATGCGGCTCGTTATACAATGGTAATATTTAGCAAAAAAAGAACTTACTTACTTCGTTACTTCTGTGATTGTGCAAATATAATTAACTGTATATAATTTTGTTACACACGCAGTGTTGCACTGTACTCCTCAACCACATTATACCATTAGTCATGCTATGAGTTGGACGCTTCAGTGCGCACATGGCGTTGCCTATCTTCACAATATGAAACCAAAACCGTTAATACACAGGTAAATAGAGATACTTTTCTGACGTTTATCTCCTATATAATTTTGTAAGCAAATGGGAAGAAAGACCCTGATGAAATTTTGCTCCGCAGAGACTTAAAGCCACCCAATCTGTTGCTAGTTATGGGTGGACAGTTGCTTAAGATCTGTGACTTTGGCACAGCCTGTGATTTACACACATATATGACCAATAATAAAGGATCGGCCGCGTGGATGGCGCCAGAAGTATTTGAAGGCTCTAAGTATACAGAAAAATGTGATGTATTTAGTTGGGGTATTATTTTGTGGGAAGTTTTAACACGCAAAAAACCCTTTGATGACATTGGTGCTTCAGCCTTCAGGATAATGTGGGCTGTTCACATGGGACAAAGGCCTCCTTTAATAGAGGGATGTCCAAAGCCAATTGAGGATCTCATGACAAGGTGAAAAGAAAAATCTTGTAAAAATAATAATAATAATAAAAGAACAATGTGGTTGTAATACATGTCTTATGAAAATTTTTATTTATTACGTTAAAAAAATCAAACATTTGTGAAAAAAAAAAAATGTCTGAATGTAGTGGCAGACTTTGCTGTTTCTTTCTTTGACAGATGTTGGCAGAAAGAACCGAAAGAAAGGCCTTCCATGGACGAGGTAGTGAGGATAATGACAAAATTGTCAGAATTTTTCAATTCTCATTTAGAACCAGTTGAATATTCTTTAAGTATGTGATAATAAGTATCAAGTTTACGATTAAATTGCGTTATTTATGTGTTAAATATTAATATTTGCATGCATTAAAAACAAATGTGTTATGACAGGTAGCGAAGTTGATGATATTCACGAGAAGGAAAGATCGATAGAAGACACGTTGGATAATGCCAGTACGTTGGATTCTCGAATGAATGGCTCAATCGCAAACGGCACTGTTCGTACAATTCCAAATCCCGTGCACAGAACCGACGAAGACAGTTCCAACGGGAAAGATTCGTCGATTTCCGCGTTACGAGTCGCAACGTCGCCATTTGGCAACGACGCGTCGACAAATTTCTCGCCATATCAAAATAATTTAGGAGTTCAACGAGTACCTGACGAGTGTTCGGTATTGAATAATCACGTATCTGGCGATAATACGGATAATAATTTAGAACACGCTAAATCATCGATCCCGCAAAGTGCGTCGAGAGCTAACGGTGACAAGTTCGCCGCGTTGCAACATAGAAACTGCAATTTTACTCCGTTACACGTGGAGTGCGATCCGGTAATTCATTTCAATAACGTGTACTTTGTAACAATTTCATTGTCAAATCTTGCGAATTTTTTTCTCTCAATTACTTTGTGTATAATATTCAAAGAAAGTTTGTAAACAAAAACTTCCGTTTATCAAAGATAATAATTTTACACTTTATTGTGTTTATATACATATTTTTTAATATATAAAATTTTGTGTTTTTAATATAAAAAAAAAAAAATGTTACAGCACGCTTGGGATTTGCCGAGTTCTTCCGACACATCTTGGGAAATTCCAAATAACATGGCCGGTTTAGATAAAGTGGTTCCGAAAACGAAGAAGAATGTACAAAGTAAGTTTTGTTATCAACGTTCTTCCGTTTCTAGTAACTGGAAAGATCATTTATCAAAGATTATCGTTTTTCACACATGTATATATCTTCAACTCTGTTGGTTTGTTCTTTTTCACCGAACTAGCTGCGCCAATTCAGATTTTATCTTTTTTTTTTTTTACTTTAAAAGATAAAAACTCAGAATTAACGTTAGACCAGTTCAGCGAAGAAGAACAAACCATGTTGTATCGTGCGTGTGTACGTGTGCGTGCGCGCGCATCGTTGTCTCTAAATCCGCACACTCTACATTTTAAACTACGAAAGGTTTAGCGATCGAGAAGTTAATTTTAATAACTAACAACTGTGGTACAATATAATTTCACATATCGATATATATTTGCGATTGAATTATTAAAATTAACTTGAAAGAAAGTTTTATTTAAATATACGCGCGGTGGTCGCGCGAGTATTTCTCAGAACAGATGCCGAAAAAAGATCGCAAAGAGGCTGTGGCACCAAACTGGCTGACTGTGCGAGACCTGTCTCTGTCGCGTTGCGAAGGCATACTGCCAGAAGAAACGTTTAACGGGGAAGAATTGTCTGTGCCTTATGCGGCTCTAATCAATGCGCGAATTTATTACGAGTTACGCGAGATTTATTTATTATCTCGAAGTTGCGTCGTTGCGTTTATTTTTAAACGGCGGGAACAACCGCCGAAAAATATTGCGCGTTTCGCAAATAATTGCGAAAAATCGATTGTTCGTCGGAAAAGAGATGCGCAATTTTTTTTTCTTGATCATTATACGCGCGCGAGATTCGAGAAGCTCTCTTCGAGATGACTAATATGTCGGACAACGTGAAACATTTTAATGGACACAATGCCTCCGCGAGCTGACACGGGGCGTAACGTTTTGAGCTTACAGAGCAGCGCTTTAGTGGTACACACGAAGTAGATTATTTTTGGCCTAGAATACTAAGCACCGCGCGCTGTGACTCACCGGGCGCCTTCACCGACCGAGAGTCTTCGTCTCTCGCCCGCGTCTTGGGCGCGTTGCTCATAATGCGTTTCTACGAAAGCGATTCATCGCAATCACGTAGTTTCTCCCGCGAAGTAATTAAGTTTCCGTTTTCGCAAGAAACAATTTTTTTACGTTGCTACGATTGTTGTTTCTTCTACCGTTATCTTTGGTTTTTTTCTTTTTTTTTCAAGTCTTGCGTAATCTTCGATGTATGAAGTTTCTTTTTATAAATTAAATAATTTCAATTCTAAATAATTTTTCAATTCTTAGGAAATGATAAATGTTATGTTTACAGCGACGAGCAGTTTGTGTAAAATAAATTGTAAACATGGTCGATAAAAGGAACATGTGGAAGATTAAGTGGAGTTAAAATAAGAAAGAAAGAAAAGAAAAGAGAGAGAGAGAGAGAGAGAGGGAGAGAGTTGTAAAGCTCGGTATATGCTATATTCATCGAGGGTTCGTCGATCGGCGGAGTTCTCTCTCTCTCTCTCTCTCTCTCTCTCGGTGTACCCTGGCAAAGGGCCCGTGTAGCCGCAATAGCAGCCGCCGATGTGTGCGCGCGTGCACTAAATTTAACTGACGACTAATCGGTAGGACGTGTGACTCGCTTTTGATTGGCACGTTGCGACGACGACGAAGAAGAGAACGGCCGTGTCCCGTCAGCGGACGAGGGGAACGCAAGGAGAAGAGCGAGGCGAACAAGCGGAAGAGCAGCAGCAGCAGAAGAAGAAGAAGAAGAAGAAGAAGAAGAGCAGAATAAAGACAAACGGGAAGATAAAGGGGAAGAAGAAAACGAATGACTACGATCGCGACAAAACGAAGCGAAAGAGAAGAAAAAAAAAAAAAAGAAATCAGGCACAAGATTCTCTCGAGGATGAATCAAGCCGCGGTGCGTGTTTTGTTCTTGGCTCGTGTACACGCTCTTCGCAGCGTTTCTCGTCGAATTGTCCAGGGTGGGGGGTATTTAGAAGCAGGTGTGGCTGAGTCAGCATCCCCAATATAGACGTGCGTTTGTTTAGTAGAGAGCCGACTCCCTACGGAGGAGCATCTCCCGCCGATCGCAGGTCGCTAAGCGCGCAATATAACGAGCTCGATTTTATCGAGGACACATCGATCGACACGACCGGGAAATTTCATCCCTCGAGAACACGGCCGTTTCCCGGATCACTCTATTGAATAAATCTTGTTAGCGATATCGTCGCGAGATTATACGAGGATTCGCGCACTCGTTATTCCCAGCCGTCCCGGTGAGAAAGAGAGCGAGAGAGAGAGAGAGAAAGAGCCGTATCCAGGTATTTCTTCACGGCGTCGCGCGTTATCTCCGAACAGCGGAAATTTCGTGGATCTTCACACCCCCGATTTCATCTTGATGACGAGGATCTGATTGCGAAGGAATCGAACGAAGGAAATTATGCCGACGAGATCGGTCGCGTTGTTGGCACGCGGAGGATAAATCGCACACGATACAAAACACGTTTTTTAACTGCGTCGAGGTAACCGCAGCTCGCGCGAGAGGAGCGGCAGGTGGATTGGATTCGACATGTGCGACGACTACCCGGAGATCGTCGGCACCGACACGCTCAAGCGCTGCTGGGTTCTATTGCGTTAGTACAGAGCTTAGATTGTTCTTGTGCCGAGAGAGAGTGTTGTATACGATATAAGATCGTTGCAAGCGTTATTAAAGTATATATATGTTGGTTTTGAATTTCCGGAACTCTGGTAAGAATCGGAACTCGCGATAGAGTCCGCCAATACCGCAAATACGATAAATACATAAATGTTTCTTGAAGATATATACGTTGTATGTGAAACTGTGTATTTTTTTTTCTTCGGGATTAGACGTATCATTGACAATGCAAATTTAATTTATAGCAGGATGTATAAGAGATGACCGTTAAGGATCGTAATAAATTTTCGCGCCGCAGGTAACAGCACCACGAGTGAAGACTTGGGCAACGTTTGCCGCCTCTTGGATGCCGACCTTAGGCCGCTCACACCTGATTACGATTGCGAACGTTCGCGGGAGATCTTTGAGGAGCACAAGCAGATAGCGCAGGAATATCTCAAGGTCCAAACGGAGATAGCGTTGTTGAGCCAACACAAGAACGAAATGTTGAAGAACTTCGGTATCGACAGCCTGAAACAGCAGAAAGAATTGCGCGAGCTGGAGGATGAAAAGGTGTTTCTTTTGTGCTCTTTTGTAACACGTAAGGTTGTAATCTAGTATACGCGCAAAGGTTGATTGAAAAGTTCAATGTGAGTTTTTTCACACAGCTTTTCTGGGAAATGTCGGCGAATTTTAATAACACACACACACACACACAAACACGTCATCGTCATTTTCAGGAGTCGCTGTTGCAGCTGTGTTTCAATCTGAAGCGGCAGTTGCAGATCATGAAGGATCAAAGATTAAACGGGGCGTTGACGAACGCGGCAACCGCCGCTTCCGCCGCGCCGACGATAGGACCCGCCGTTTCCGGAAACAATGGCTGGGTGGTGGTACCACGTCAGGATCCATCTAGGCTCTCGTGAGACATCACGACGCACCAACGTATATCCGTGGATCTCGACGAGAATGTACTTATGTCAGATCAATTTGCATTATTATAGCGGCGATCTGATCGGCGATGTGCAACAACACACACACGTACTGGAATCAAAATTCCAATTTTTGTACGGAATCAAAATCCAATCAACATCGCGCCCCGCTTGCTACCCCGATAGAGTGGAGAGCGCGACTATATATATTAATACAAGTCATATTAATATAGTCACGCTTACCGAGAGACCGTTTTCTCTATTCGATTTCGATTTAAAATCGAGATTTCGACACGACGTGTGATACCGTATATCTATACGGACTATTTCTTATCTTACGAGATATGGAAGGCGATAGTTTCAGGTACATGTTACACAGATACGCCTCGCGTTCCTTTTTAGGGTTCCTTTTACTGAGTTTTGCGGTCGCATCTTTTTTTTTTTTTTTTTATTTTCTTGCCACGTCACGTTCTTCGCGTTTGCAGTGTTGATTTTATAAAGCAGCTAAACGTAACGTTTAAATATAAATCTGTTATTAACGGGATTTATTGATGCAACGTGAGTTTCTTCAACTGGAATACCTCGAAGATAGTTTTAATTACGCAGTCTAGTCGCTTGGATAAATAATCCACGATGTTTTTAATTTATTAGCATTTCAACGTGCTGCAGCAATGATACGCGTGTGTGTGTGCGTGTGATAAGTTTTTATTTTATTTAAGCTGTCAGAGCTTCCTCCTGTCTAGAGGAACAATATTTTTTGCACAGACTTCTTATCTTGAATTAACGAATATATGGATGGATAATCCTTTAGATTACATTTTGATTTTTAAATTACAGTTAGTAATTATATATGTATTTCGTTTGTATATGTATATAAATTGATGAAGCAATGAAAAGATTTTAATATATATATTTACATATAAAAGGTATACATTTGCCTGTTTGGTTGAATTGTGGCCAAGAAGAGACCTCGTCTCGCTTATTAAAATCTTTTTGCTTCATCAAGTGCTGCGATTGTTTTAACTATTGTATATAGCTATTTTATGTCTCGCAAAAATGAGAATCGAACTCGAATATTTTGCGACAACACAGACAAACAAAAGAATGAGTTGCGAAAATAAATTTAAAATTTATTTGCGACAAGTACATAAAAATCACTTTAAAAAGCTAAGGGACGTGTGTTAACTTTACTTCCGGAATTTAATAACGAAGCAAAAACGCGAGAGTCACGCAAGACAAAAGTATCCAATACGCATACTGGAAGTGTTCGGAAAAAATGTTTTACGTTAGAACGACGATGCGACCGTTTAAGAATTGAGCGAAATATGAGCATAAAATGATGACGATTAAACGAACACTCATATATATATATGTGCAGGAAATGGAAATAATATAAAAAAACCCACGCATGTTAATATTAGGCAGCAATTCGCTCTGATCTGTTTTTCTTTTTTTTTTTCTTTTTTTTTCCGGAAATGTAGAACGTAACGAAGTGTTTTTGAAATCGTCTTGGCGTATCTTACTCTCTTATGAGACTTATATCAAGCAATAAAGCAATTACTTAAGAGGGTGCGCGTTCTTTTTCGACAATTTTGTAATGTAAAATTGTTTTTGAACACCCTCCCCCCAGTGACAGTGTAATATAGAAAATGTAAATATAATTTTGACATGTGCTGCAAGATACTTCACTTTCTGTTATGTTTTTGTATGTTATATCATACCCATGACGAAATCGATGTAAGCGACGTCCAATAAAATTTGCGTACGTATGTACTTTACGCACGTACGTATATTGACACAATGCTAACAAGATAATACGTAATTGTTACAAAAAAGTTAAACGAGATGCCAATAAACAAGAGACGCGCGCGAGAGACGTAATTGCTCAACTTTCAAACGTTTTCCTCGAGTTTTTATTGGCAGTTGTAATTCGTCAATTACGAGCTGCGAAATTTGTGTCGAAGGGGAAAATGAAAGTCCGGTCTCTTCAATCTCATTCTTTACAGACGCGTCTAGCATCTGAATTCATTTTTTCGTAATTAAATTCTTGCGAGAGAGACAGAGAAAGAAAGAGAGAGAGAGAGAGATAAAGTCAGCGCACGATCGTGTGTTATTATTAATGATTTCGAACATAAAAATCGAACATATTCGTTGCTGCAATGCATCATCGCGAAGCCGCGATGTGTGCACATGTCACGCAACAAATTGCGCGCATTAAACCGAGTCTCGGATGAACAAATGAAGGCGAGAAGATATACGCCAGCGCGAAATCAATAAACTCCCGGTCGTACGCGCTTCGACATTTCCATGATGCGAAAGCACGAGAAATAGAAAGGAAATAGGACGCGACCGGTTGCTCTAAGGGGAAAGAGAGAAGGGGGGGGATGCCGAGAGTGGGAAGACGAGATATGAATGAGAAGAGGGGTGGCAGGTAGAGGGTGTGCGAATATGAGAGGGAGGGTTGGAGAGGAAGGAAAGGGTGCGCAAATACGTGGGTGTGCATTGACTGGGGCAAGAAAAACGAGCGAGAGAGAGAGAGAGAGAGATAGATAGATAGATATATATAGAAAGAGAGCTATAGAGAAATTGCCAATTCGAGATACCGAGGGAAAGCGAAAGGGGGTGTGAAAAAATTCGGAAAAAGATGATGGAAAGATGGAACGTGACCGGGGGCTCGCGATGAGGAGAAAGAAAAATGGGAAGAGAGAAAAATTGGAGAGAAACGCGAAAATATATTTGCGCGCGTGCGTGAGCGGACTCGAACGGGGGAGAGATTGAAGGGAGAGAGAGAGAGAGAGAGAATAAAGGGGAGCGCACATCCCCGCGAGAGGGAAAGAGACGGAGCGACGAGGAACACCGAGGGGTGGGACGAGGCGTGAGATGGCCGAGGAAGGGGGCGAAAGACAGACCGGAATTTCAGACGTCTACGGACCAGCCTGCGAGCCTCGTTCCCTCCCTTTAAGTTTCGCACGTTTTTTTCTCTCTCACATCACACATCTCATTTCCCCCCGTTAGTTAGACCATCTTCTCCGCGAAGAGGAGCTCGATAGAAGACGCAAAACGAGAGGATGACCGTTCCGAGAGGATCAGGATCGAGCGATGCCGACGACGACGAGAAGAGATACATCCTGGAGATGATGAAGAAGAACGTCGGCGGAGAGGTGAGAGCAAACCCGATGTGACAAAAACGGCGTATATATATATGTACATACATATATATCTGCTATATCGTTGCGCGACGGCGGATGTGGCGGTTTTCGCGTGTGTCGATTTTCTTCTCTTTCCGGTTTCCGCTTCCTTTCCGCTTTCGCGTAACAATCGCGACGCGCGACAAATCAGTATTCGTTCGGCGAATCGTTAAAAACACACACACAGTAACGAAGAAGAGAACGATTTGTTGATTTGTTTCGCGAATTTTCCGAAAACCGTGAGCACGTTATTCGACGAACAATAAGACAATTTCGCGCTTACTACCGAGTGATCAGTGTGTTTGCAGACAGATATTTCGCGATTTGGATAGATTATATATATATATATACATATATTTTTTTTTCTTTTTGTTCTATATATATATATATATATATATATTTTTTTTTTTTTTTTTTTTCTTTTTGTTCTATATATATATATATAAAGGAGATCAGTTGGCGCTCTTCTACTCTCTCAACGGATAACTTACTGTCGAGAGCAATTCCATCTGTCTCTGTCAATTATATAGTTTAGCGAAACGTCTACGTTTCGGAGAATCGCGCGCTGTTTTCTTTGACGGATAGAACGGCGAAAGTAACTTTCGCCACTTGGTTCATTTCATTCGCAAACAACTCATCGCGTTCTTCTTCTTCGCTTAATCTTCACGTTCGAGCGCGCGCGCGTACGGTCTTAATCTTTATTGTTTCACTATTCTCACGGATTTTCGCCCGTGTAATAGTCGCGCACAAACCGCGCGCGCAAAACTTCGCAATTACGGGGTTTTGCGAGCGAAAGAGTGACATTTTCGAGATTAGTATTTTAATTAAAATTTCTGCGTTGTGTGTGTGTGTATGAACATATCTATACGCACAACACACATACACACAGACGTTCACAATTTCGCTCCAATTGAGAAATTACCTGTAATTGACATTTTTCGTTCAAAACGTGTCGTTCGTTTCAAACCGCTCAGATTTCTCCGACACCGATTTTCTCACGAATTTCCTTCTCGTAGAAAACTTCGCACGCGTTCTTCCTTTCGAAAAAAAAACGCGCCGCAAAACGAAGGGAATCGCGTCAGCGGAGTAACGGACGAGGAACGCGCGTTTCTTTTTTTTTCTTTTTTTTCAATTTATCGCGTTTTGACACACGCGTGTCAAGTAAACAAATAAATATGTATAATAAAAATAACACAAATGTGTTACATAACAAACATAATAAACAATATGTAACGCATAAATAATAATAAACGTATATTGTAACTATACGTACTGCACGCGCGTGCGCGCGCGCGCAATTATCGCTTTAATTAAATTACATTGTTTCGAAACTTGGAACAGGTTGTCAGCGTCGGATGGGAAGAATCCTACGACGACATGCAACAACTAGTCGGGGTGAGAATGAACAGCTCGTGTCACAGCTCGTTTCAATTTCTATTTTCCGTTCTTTTATCTTAATTATTAGCAACACGAAGCGATTCGTGTTGCGCACGCATGAAATACAACCCCCTCCTTCCCTTCCCGATCTTTCGCCTCAAATTTCCCAAGTTTTCGCTTCGCGCGCGACGTGGTGGTTTGTAGAAGTAGGCGTCAAACAGAAACTTCCACGCTTCTCGCTAATTGGCCTATTGACATCTCGATTAAACGGCCTGTTTCAACGAGAGACCCGACTAGGGGTCGATGCACTTTACTTGATATTCGTCAATTTGCATGAATCGTTCGTTTATATTTGCGAACAAACATCCACGCTCAAAGTCGTTGCACGTGCGCCGCGCTATCGTATTCGACTTTGCACAAACACAAACGAGAGAGAGAGTAGTAGTTTGCGCTTTTATCGCCCTCGCGTCCGCATGTCACACTCTCGCACACACGCCGCTGTAATATCACTTGAAATTATTCCGCCGCGGCTACCGAATAACAGAATAGTTGACGTTTGTTGTCCGACAGTTGATTTATGTATCCCGCGCTCGCGGGGATTTTGCCGCACCGACGCCTCGAAATGACGGATTTTTTTGTTTTTTTTTGTTTTTTTTTAGCGTCTCGGCGATTTTATCGCCGGCGTTAATATTTATAAGGAAACGAAATCTGCGAAATATGTGCGTATCGGATTCGCGCGGCCAACCGCGTCACGTAACGCTAATTAGCATTGCGTCGTAAAGTTAATTATGCATTGCTTCTTTCTCTCTTTCTCTTTCTTTCTTTCTCTCTTTCTTTCTCTCTCGCACGTATTTTCTTGTAAACCCGTACAAGGTGATATATATCGATGCGTATTACAGGAGGATGAGGAGGAAGAGGAGACCGGCAAATTCAGCAGCCTGCCGCTCGCGAGTTTCAACTTCATTAACTCCATCATCGGCAGCGGTGTTATAGGTAAATGTGAAATATATGTGTTCTTGCCGTTTTTTGTCTAAGAAAATAATATATTACACACGTCATAAATAATTTTTTCAAGCGAATTTTCTTTTCACAGAATAAAGGCGAAATTGTGCAAACAAAATCGATACACCGCTCTATTTTGTTAGGTCGCGCACATCTCAATTATGTGTTGTTATTTTAATTATTTTATTTATATATATATTATACTAATTATTATATTATATTATATTATATTATACATATCGTCGGTGAATAATGCGTGAAGAACTTAATTGCAAAATGATTAATGTTTTTTTTCTAAATAAATGTCAATTGTTGTCGTTTGTGCGACATTTCGATCCGAAACGAATTCCCGTTTTCGTCGCGCAAAGGACGATCCCATTCGGCACGAACGGAAGTTTTTATTCGCAATGTTATTTTTGTACGACGAAACGTTACAACGTGCATTCGCGGATGTGAAGTTTTTTTCTTTTTTTTTTTTTTTTAGGAATACCGTACGCGTTGCACCAAGCTGGCTTCGGCCTCGGCATCGCCCTATTGATCCTGGTGGCTACGTTAACCGACTACTCGTTGATTCTCATGGTGCGAAGCGGTCACATATGCGGCGAGATGAGCTATCAGGGCCTGATGCGAGCGAGTTTCGGCCGAGCCGGATTCTACATCCTCACGGTTTTGCAGTTCTTCTATCCGTTCATAGGTACGTCGAATTTTTTTGCACGCGCAAAAATTTTTATTACGTTATTTTATTAATTCTTCTATATGTAATGCGCTTAACGCGATAGATATTTTGTTTCGCGCGCGCAGCTTTTATATATTTTTTTTTTATTTCTCTTCGCGTATATAGATTTTGTTTTCTCTCGTCAAAGCGTTTTCTTTCTCGTTGTGATCGATTATTCATTTTGTTCGTTCGCATCAACAACACATTTGATCTCTCTTTTATTTTTCTCTATTCGCACGCGTTTTTCGTTATTTTGTTACGTATTATTGTTCTTCCGCTTTAGCTTGGGAAAATAATCCAGAAATAGAAAATGTCATCGCTCGTAAACACATCGACGAAACGAGCGCGTTTGTTTTATCGACACACACACACACACACACACACACAAATACATAAAATGCTTTTACGTTTGCAGCGATGGTATCGTACAACGTGGTCGTGGGCGACACGGTCACGAAGGTCCTGATAAGAGTCACGGGAATGCACGAGACAAATATATTCGCGCACCGGCAGGTTGTCATCCTTCTGGCCACCCTAGGCATCACCATTCCGCTTTGTTTGTACAGAAATGTCGCGCGATTAGCGAAGATCTCATTTCTCTCACTGGTCTGCGTCGGATTTATTCTCCTCGCAATCTTCATACGAATGGACACCATGTCCGCTCTGGTGTAAGCAGAAATAAAAAAACAAACACTTTCTTACTCGTGGAACAACTCTCGTAAAGAAGATAGTTTCACCTGGTTTTTTTTTTTTTTTTTTTTTTAAATGTAAACTGTCGCGCGTGATCGCAATGTGTTTTTTTAATTAATTTCAGTCCGGATCGCACCGACAGTTGGAGATTCGCCAATTTTCCGGGAGTAGTTCCGTCCGTCGGTATCATGGCGTTCGCCTTCATGTGTCACCACAACACCTTTCTGATTTACGGCTCGATCGAGAGAGCGACGCAACAGAAATGGGACGTTGTTACGCACTGGTCTCTATTCACGTCCTTCATCATCGCCGCGGCCTTTGGAATCGCCGGCTACGCCACATTCACGTCATACGTTCAGGGCGATCTCATGGAGAATTACTGCTGGGACGACGATCTCATGAACTTCGCCAGAGTCATGTTCAGCGGCACGATCCTTCTCACCTTTCCGATCGAATGCTTCGTCACGCGTGAGGTAAACTTTCTCTCCCTTCTCGCGCGCGTGTCCGTCTCACGACGCCGAGTTACATCATACGGGGAGATCTTTACTTTATACGGGAACAAGTATTTTTAAATAAAATTGTGTAATAAAATTATAATTTTATTAAATTGATAAGAGATAAAAATAATACTTCTTATCGGAGTAACGGATTATTATGTTTTATCGCTTCTCAGGTGCTTATGACGGCGATCAAAGGCACACACGAGTTAGAATCGCACGAGGCTTACGTGCCTAACTCGGACCGCAAGTACCTGATAATTACTCTGACGATAGTGTTCGTAGCGTATTTGATTTCCATGCTGACGGACTGTCTGGGGATCGTTCTCGAGTTAAACGGTATTCTTGCCGCGGTACCGCTCGCCTACGTTCTGCCCGGTCTCTGCTACCTCAAACTCGAGGAGGGACCCATTTTCTCGTCCAAGAAGCTTCCGGCCCTCGGTCTGATGACCAGCGGCATTCTGGCCGCAATCTCGGGCCTGTTGCTGCTCATACTCAACAGCAGCTCATCCGGCACCTGCTTCCACGGCAAAGTTATGCCGTACTGCGTCAACAACTCGACGACGACGTCGTCGTCGTCGCTGCTAATCGACGCGACCGCGACGTCCGCCGAGGACCTACTAATCACCAGCACGGAGTCCGAAATCTAAGCTCTTTCTAACAAGCAGCACGGTAAATCTTTAGTTTTACAATCGAGTAAAAGTTTGCCGAACAAAAACATGAAAGTACGAGAGTTGCGCTTGATAGAGAGAAACAGGAATAAATAATTTATATAATGTATATAAACGTGCAAAATCGATAAAAATTCATTCGCTCGAAAACAGATCGAACAACATATTAATATGTATGTGTACGCGTGTAACAAAACAAAAACCAAATCCGAAACCTGACATTGAAACTTATATAACTCGTTGTTTGATGCAACGTCTCAATAAGAAATTCAAGAACATCTTCAAAAGAGAAACAAACGGGAGATTGAAAAAGTTTCTATAAAAAATTATATCCAAACATGAAACAAATCTTTTTTGTTCTTTTTCGAATAAATATGTTTGTAATATAAGAGAAAAGATATATACCGAGTAATTTAAAAAAAAACAAAACAAAACAAAAATTACAACAAATACGCAAAAGAATTACAAATCCTATTACAGCGTCCTATTGCCAGTATATAGCGATAAAAAAAAAAAAAAATTACACTTGATCACACGGATAACATTTTATTGTCGCGACGACTCTCTCAGCTGAAAAAAAAAAAAAAAAAACAAGCAAAAAAAGAGACTTCGACATAAAATTTATAGTTGCGTAAACAAATATGTGCACAAATTTACCAGAAAAATAGAACACCATTATTTATTACGTATAAAAAAAAAAAAAAAAAACATAACGATTAGAAAAATGTGCACGATCTGGAAGATTGAATTAATTTAACGCTCGCAATACGATGAAATCAATGCAATACAAGGATTACGGGCTTACGAGCGAGAAATCCAAAACATCGGCAATAGATTACATGTAATCGTTCTTCCCGCCATTTAGTCGAATATATATATATATATATATATACATACATATATATATATATATATATGTATACGTATATGTAGATTATTGAGTGTTTATCCAAATTTGTCGGATATATTTGAAATGTTCTCCAATATATTCAAGAATATATGAAATGAAAATAAGATAAGTTTTTTCGAATCTATATAGTCGTGTGCAATGAGCTTGAAATTCACGAGCAAGGACGATTATAAACTTTTAGTGCGACGCACATAATTGTTAGACAGACACAGAATTTTAAAACACGTACCAATCGACGATAACGTGAACTCTTTCGATGATATTATTATTACTATTATTATTATTATTATTAGAGATACGGAACAGGACTGTTGCATATATTTTGTCCTGATGAAGTTCCAGAATGCGTAACGGGAGAGATTCTTCGAATGCTCGAATTTTAAGAAAACTATATAGTGTTAACGTGATAATTAATCGTTATATAATTGTGATTAGATAAAAAACATCAACGTATATAGAACGCGTATGTGTGTGTGTGTGTGAGAGAGAGAGAGAGAGAGAGGGATGAGAACTCTCATTATATATTTTTCAGAGAAATATTGGAAAACAGAAACACACGGTTTCTAAATGAGAAATGTATGTGTGTATACGCATGAGCATGCGTACAGATGTGTACGTGTATCTATACACACACATACAAGATAACACTATATGTTTATATTTTCTCTTGACGAGGGACTAATATTGAATGTTGACGGTAAAGAAGACGTGTAAACGCAGAAAAAAATCGCATTGTTTGATTTTTTCAACTTGTCTTGCTTATATAAAAGATAATCGAGATAATTTTTGCTCTCTATCTTGTGGAGAAAGAAAAAAAAAGAGAAGAAAATTATAATTTTTGATTATTTTTCTCAAGAAAAAAACTCGCGTGAGATTGACACACATACGACCACATACACACGAGCTTTTCGAATTAAAAAACGCGTATTTATTTTCACAACAAGTGAAAGTAAAGCGGAAAAAATTTAATAAAAATTTGGCGCGCCGGCACAATCATGGCACTCAGGTTTCTCGCTTAAAATCTGAATTTGGATTGACTTATAAAAATCATCTTATCGCGCACGGAAGATTTTGACTTTTTGCGTAGGCAAATTATTTTCACTATAGTTCACAAAAGAGTGAGATAGAACGAGAGCATAGAGAGCTACAATGACGTTGTCTATGTAAACGAATCAAAATATTATAGACAGAACTACAATGACACAATCAAAAAAAAAAAAAAAAAACAAAAAACAAAAACAAAATAAAAAAACAAAAAACAACAAAAAACACAAGTTTGCGCTTTACGTAATTTAAATTATTATAATCAAAGACCACAGAAGAAGAAAGTATTTATTGCGCATGCCGCGCATACTATACCGTAGAATATAAGAAAATGGATCACAAATATGTTTACCTGTTTACGTATATTTGATGAATATAACGAGAAAGCCTATTTAGGATATAAGAAACTATTTAAAAGAGTTTAAAACTATATTATAGAAAGCGCGAGCAAGAAAGGGAGGAATATATATATATATATATATATATCACACCTGTTGTGTCAAAACGTTTAAAGAGAAAGGAAGTTAAGGAAGAGATTTTGGGGGAATATAATAAAATAAAATCACATTCGCAAAATATACATATGGAAAATCTAATGGAGAGCGCGCGACAAAAAGATTAAAACACAACAGAGAGACACGTGTATTCGCACATATGTTTTGCGCGTGATTGCGGCACGCTATCACGCACATACACACGCTTTGTTGTTGTTGCGTGAAACAGATACGGTTGTGTGTATGTGCGTGCGCGCGCGCGCGCGCGTGTCTTTCGCGTGTCAGGAACAAACTTTCCGCATTACGTCCAGAATTATGAACGCGCTATACTTGCGAGAAAGAAATACATATACTTTATATATATACTATATATATTATATAATTTAACTATATATATATGTATACACAAAAACAAAGTGTGAGCGCACAAGGGAGAGAAGGGAGAGAGAGAGTGAGAGAGAGAGAGAGAGAGAGAGAGAAGAGAAAACTTATATTTTGCAAAGAGAAATCATCGTCTTCGCGAAACTTCACACACTCTCGTTTCAAGTTCCTGATCTTTTTTCCTGAGCTCTTACGCGTCAAACCGAGAGTTCGATAAATTACATACATACATACATGGTTGTGAGCTTTACACACGTATTTTAATGACATTAAGATTATCGTTATCGATTCTCAGATGTAAAACACACACATAACACACACACTCACAATCGAGCACGTGAATATATATATATATATACACCGGAAGAGTTTTTCCGCGTTCAAGTTTATTACCGCGCATAGATGGTTCAATTACGACTCTAAAAAAACATTAGCCGCGGACTAAAGACTTTTACACAAACTTTCCCTTCGCTCTCACAAGCAACACGACATGCCGAACAACCGTGTAATCAATAAAGCGTTCCACGTACGCGAACAAAAAAAAAAAAAAAGAAAAAAAAAAGTAAAGATGTTTATAAATGACTTAGTCCAAGCAACTTTGACTCGTTTGTACTGTGATACTTGTGTTTCGTAACGCTTTCCATACGTGCGCAAACTCTCTGCAAACTCACGAGACTCACGACACTTTACTGCAACTTTTGCGAAAATAACATCGATGCGTATTTTTTTACATACATTTAATATGTGTCACCTTCATTTACAAGCAAACTGACTCGTCGGCCAAAGATAGAACAGCAGAGGTAATTAATATGTTAAATTTATCCACAGTTAATTTATTCCAGTTAAATTTATTCGACGCGAATAAATTATTAATGCAAAAAATACGCGAGTATCAGACAAAAAAATAAAGAGAGAGAGAAAGATTCGCATTCAAACTCGCTACTTTATATACTTTTTAATGTAATCTCTCTTATTTTTCCAAAATATTTTTTTGGATTTACGAACAGAGAGAGAGAGAGAAGCAAATTGCAACAAAAAAAAAAGAAAAAAAAAAAACAATTGAAGAAAGTTGTATGCGGGAAAGTGCAACAATTTCACAGACAGAAGATGCGTGTTCAGAGTGTTGGTTTGCGTGCTGGCACGCAAGAGATATGTGTGTGTGTATGCGTGTGCGTAGCCGCGTGCGGAGAGATTGTTCGAAAAAAAAACAAAAAAACAAAAACAAAAAAAAAAAAAACAATTGTCTCACGTACTTTGTAAAATGGCGATCTCGCGGATTATTCCATTCGTCGCGGGTCTTCCGACCATATTTATTCTGTGATAGATACACATGTGTTTACAAGGCGATGCTGCGGGTGTGCGTGGCGCGCGCGCGCCCACAATGCTAAGCTGTATGATGTTACCTATAATAAAAATTTATTTCGCAAAATAAGACAAATTTAAGATTAAAACGCAAACTGTGTTCTTCTCTCTGTTACGTTTAATGCGCTCTTATTTCTCTTTTGTTTTTTTTTGACCCACAAACCAGTTGTATGTTCCTCTCGTCCTTACGTTTCGATCCACCTTTTCAAGATCAAAAAAAACGAGCGTGTGTGATTCGCAATTCCCTCGTCTCGCATTGTTATCTTTCTTCTTAAATTGTCCGCATTCCCGCGACGTCGAGTCACGCTTTTTTCTGGTTTTACGTCCGCGTATCTAAAAAAAAAAAAAAATGATCGAGCTACAGACTTCGCTCCTCTCTCCGCTTATCTCGACGATCTATTGTAGAATTTCACTTGATAAATGAGAGCAAGAGTGAGTGAAAGTGTTTTAGAAATACTCATGCGCGCAAATTTCACCGCGCGAGTTTTCAGAGAAAGCGTCACCGTTGCCGCTACTTTTATCTCTTCTCGATGTATCGATTCAAACCGTTCATTTGCGCGACCCACTCCTCTCTCCCTCCTCTTCGAGAGAAGTGTTCGAATGATCGACGACTACGGAAGTGACTGACATTGTTGACTTTTCTGTCAATCGCCGCCAATCACCGCCGCATAATTGTCGTGACGAACGAAACAAACACGCGGGTAAATTGTTCACAACCGTGACCTTGTTCGGGACGGCGCAGACGCGCGTTTTCAATTGCGCGTTTCCCGCGCCTGAATCGATTCGCCGCCGAGCGCCGCCGCCGCCGCGACGCCGCTGGTCTCACCCCCGTTGTCCGCACCGCCCTGATGCGGGCTTCTTGGCCGCCTGTCGGCCTAGTTGGCCCTCAGTCAACCACAGTCGTTCCGTTTGGTGCGATAGTCCGGAGGAAACTGATCGCTCGAGTGAGAAACCCGTTTCGGACCGCGAAGATCTCGCCGATGTCCTGATTAATTCGCAGGCACGACGACGATGTGCCCTCGAGCGTCGTCGTCGTCATTATCGTCATCGTCGTCGTCGTCTCGATTACACAGCGTGGTATCATCGTCGTCGAAATTTATTCTTAGCGCAAGTCGCACACAATGGAACAGCTGTAGCAGCGCAAGGATAGCCGCTGCCGCCGCCGCCGCAGCAGCAGCAGCCTCGGTGGTGGTGACGACGGTCGGTGGTGATTGGTGCTGATGGTGGCGACAACGGTGAAGGAAGAAAGGTTAATCCCGCGGTCTCGTCTCTCTCGTGCGAGCGCAGCTGTTCGCGTAACGCGCTCAACAGCGAAAACGAATCGTCGTCGTTTGCGTCTCGTCGTCACACGCGACGTCTCGTCGGTAAACAAAAAAATAAAAATTTAAAAAAAGTAAAAAAAAATAAAAAAAAAATTTAAGCACGCGCCGCGCGGTGTTTCGTGTTTTAGCCGAGTCGTCGGCGTAATAATTTTTTCTTCGCGCGAGGATCCTCCGCCACTGGCGCGTGTTGTCTGACACGCAGCAACTTGGCAAGCAACAAAACCGTCGTCGTCAGTCATGGACAACGTGGCGCACAGCCCGGGCGGGCTCGAGAGGTTGGCGACGCTCCTGGGCGCACCGGAAGCCGCGCTGCGCCTCCTGCTTTCGATTCTGTTGGGTAAAGTAACTGTTTTTTTTTTTCTTTTTTTTTTTTTTTTTTT